GAGAGAGAGAGAGAGAGAGAGAGAGAGAGAGAGAGAGAGATATCAAGCAGAGGGAGGTCTTGCAGGCAAGGGCCCCAGGTATATATAAGATCTGGTGCTGAAGGACCTGCATGACAAAAGCAGACCCAGAAACAGATGGATCCCACCCCTTCTAGAAATTGGAAAGTTTTACTGGATGAAAAACACTGGGAACCATTTGATGCATACATGGCCAGGCTTTGCATCTGAGCATGCACAGCTGAGGCAGGTATCAGCCAGCTTTACCACAGGGCTGTTCTGTGAAGACCCAGTGGGCTCACACTGTACTGGCAGCCTGACTCCCAGGGGCCCATCACTAGAAGCCACAGAGTCCCCAGAGAGGTAGGCTAGGACTCAGAAGCACAGACAATCCCATTTGTGCCTGAGGGCAGACACTGGCCTACACTGCCCTCCAAGCTACTGGCTCAAAACTTTTGTAAGGTACCCCGCACTTTCCCACCCTTGGTATCGGGCTCCCGCAGTGTTTGGCCTGGTGATGACACAGATAACTACACAACTTTCCCAGAAAGGAAAAGCTGCAGGATGTCACGGAGACCCTCTACATAATGGGCATCTGGCTACCCAAGTAAGAATTGTCGTCTCTCTTAACCACTAGAGCCCGGGCTTCTCACCGCCTCCCCCACCATGAGCTGACAGGCTCAATGGTGCACCGGATAAACACAAGGTAGTAGAGGCAGTACCCCACAGATCACAGAACACCACCACTGAGCAACCTCAGAAACATTTATTGACGGCCACTCCTAACCCAGGTTCCAGGGTCCAAGCAGTGTGCGTGTGGGTACCCCGTGAAACACCACACCAGTTCCCCAGCCAGTGAGGACAATGAGCTCTCTTGGACAGCCCAGGACAGGGAACAAGCCCAGCCTGTAGCCAGATGGCTCAGCTTGCTGTCTGGTCTCTCACTTGTCTCTTATGGGAACAGCGTGAGGCGGTGGACGTTGAGTGGGGTTGGTGAGGGTATGCTCTGAAGTCATGGGTGTGGCCGAGGGAGTACACTCAGGGAGGAACAGTTGCTCGGTGACAAATGACTCATATCCTCATATGAGGACACATATCCTCATCAAGGAGACCCACATAACCTTGACCCAAGACCCCCAAGCAGATGGCAGATCAAGCCCCCTGACTTTGTGGTCAGGAGCTGGGCAGGCCAAGCTCAGGCCTCACCTAAGTCACTGTACTGAAGGCCCTGTGCTGTTCCAGTGACAGCCCTGTGGGGTCCTAAGCCCACCCTTGGCCTCCAGCTGCTGTGACCTGGCTGCTGCTGTGCCTGGTGGCCCCTCCCTATGTGAACAATCTCTGAGTGAGCCGCAGCACAGCCTCATAGGCCACAAACACCACCATGTTGACAGGAAAGGCGCGGCAGCAGTTGAGCGCCAGCCCTTTGAAGAGCACCCTGGGGCCCTCCTCCCGCACGCTGGTCACCACACAGTGCAGGAGGCCCCGGTAGCGCCGCTGGCCCTGCCCATCCGCCTGCAGGCGTGACTTGATCACATCCATGGGGGTGGCCACGGCCCAGGCCAGGACCCCAGCACAGCCTCCAGCCACCAGCACACCTAGGACATCTGTAAGAGACACAGGGACCATGCCTTATTGCAAGCTTCTCAGAGACAGGACCCAGCCCGGGGCAGTTCACGAACTAACACTTAAGTCAAGACAAACCCCTCTATCACTAAGTCACTGTGTGGACAGTCACACACACACACACACACACACACACACACACACACACACACACCCCTCAGAAACCCTACTTGAAAAATAAGGCAGGCAGATGGATGCTTAGCTTGATTCAGTGTTGGTGAGCTGCACTGTGCACAGATTCCTCTCCCAGCCCCCAGCCCCCTGGGCTAACCCCACCATCTGCCTGTCACTCACCTGGCTGGCTACGGCCAGCAGGGGTGAGCCACTCACAGAGCATGGCATAGGAGAGAAAGTAGGTGGCAAAGGAGTGACCTTCACGAAGGAGCAGAGCTGAGCTGCCCTTGTAGAGTCCCGGAAGCCCCTCCTCACGGGCCACTGTGGCTAAACAGTGCAGTGGCCCACGGTACTTGGGCCTGGGCTCCAGACACGCAGTGGGTGCGGGACACAAAGCAGGAGCCGCTGCTGACGTCCAGGAGGCTGAGGGCCGCCGCTGCTGTGGCTGCGCTTGGGCCTGTGTCTGCAGGCGGACCTTGGCCACCTCAGTGGGTGATGTCAAGAACACCTGGGACAGAGAGGAAGCAAGATTAGGGTTTGCCTATAGCCTGCCCACACACTAAGACCCAGCTTTCCAGCTCTGGGACCCAGTGCTGAGAGCCTGAATCCCTAGAAGCTGCAAGCTGGTCCCAGGGATTTGATGATGCTATACTGGAAGCCAGCTCAACCAATTTAAGGCCGAAACCAAAGTGTCCTACGTCTCTCCTATCTGAGAACACTGGCTTGACACATACCGGGTGCTAAGTTAATGTGACTAAGTTCAAAAGCATAATTGATACAGTTGTTTGCACTGTAGTCATATTGCTAAAAGTGGGGCATGGTGGTCGCTGTGGGACTCAGATGGATCAGGCTGCACTGGGGTCTTTGCACCCCCAGTCTCCCTTAATTCTCATCACACCTCTTGCCGATGAGAGGGCAACTCAGAGAGGCTCAAGAGTTGAGCCTGGCTGGCTAAGCTTATTGGCCTTTGGTCTCTGCACTGTGTGTAGTGGGTACAACACTTGGCCCCTCAGCCCGTGGAGGCTCTGATTAAGGATCGAGTGGCTTATGCATGCCCCATCCTGGCCTATGAGGGACCTCAGCTGCACTTGCCTGCCTGGTTCCCATCTGTGGTGCCTGATGCTCCATCTCCACTGAGGATGAGGGATGCCAAGTGTCCATGGTAACACTAGATGGTGTTCAGTCATTTGCTAGACACCCTGAAGATGGAGCCCTCCCAGCTGAGAGGTCAGAAGCACCTGAGTGCTATCTCTTTGGGTCCTCGCACCCTGACGGGGAGGGTCTTTATGATGATCTCCTCCTCTCCACTGGAGCATGCTGGGAGGGACACCAAAAGGGGCCTAGCCTGCCGGGCGGTGTTTGCGCCCGCCTTTAATCCCAGCACTAGGGAGGCAGAGGCAGGGGGAATCTCTGTCTCAAAAAACCAAAAGGGGGGGGGGGTAGCCCATCCCAGGCAGAACACTAGTTCCTCACCACAGTCCCCATGCCCTGTAGGCTCTACCTTCACAGAGCCACAGTCTCGACACCTGTTGGGAAGTGTGATTCAAACTCCCTGGGTATCTCGGATGCCCTTCCACCCTCAACTGCCTCTACTCACCCGCACAAGGCCAGAGGCGCATCCTGAGAGTGTGATATCAGCCTTGGTGGGTTTGGCGTCAGTGCTGCCGTACCGGAAGCGGCAGATGTGAGCCAGGCAGTGGTGGTAGGTGCCAAAGGATACGGATGACACCAGGGACACCGTGCACACAGGCAGTGAGAGGCCCCGGTAGAAGCCCCACACCTGGTGGGTAGAGACCAAGTAAGGACAGGATCCGAGAGAGAATGCCCTGGGGCTGGGACATCTAGGACTGACCACCATCTCCCTTGCCTCCAGACATGACCTTTGGGATCTCAGCACTTGATGTTTGAGGTTGTGTGTGGGGTTAAAGAGACAGCTGCCTGATCACGATAGTAGATCCAGCATGATGCTCAGCTAACCCCTGCCTGCATCAATCCCCAAGTTCACTTGCATAAGTGTCCCCAAGACCTTCCCCTGGATGGGCTCCTCCCTGGCCTTCAGAAGCTCAGGTTCCCCTGTAGAGAGGGACTTGGTTCTGTACCCTATAGGGTCCCCAGTGCTCAGATTTTGGGGCTCAGAGGGGATCCCAAGGCTGGGCACAGTCATATCTGTTTGGAGGCCAAGAGGCTAGGGCTCAAGGGGAAGGACATCACTAGCAAGTCCCAGCCCAACGCCACCCTACCGTCGGGCCCCAGTCCTACCCGCTCTTGACGATACGTGTCCCGGATGCAGTGCCAGATGCTTGTGTACTTGGCCTCAGTCTGGATCCTCACCTAGGGAAATGGAGAAGGCTTCAGAAAGAGCTGGCCCTAGGCCTGGGGCAAAGCCAGTGGAAGCCTAGGCTCCACCCCTTGACTGTCAGGCATGCTGCTGTAGACTGAGAATGAGACCCCCGAGGCACAGGGTGAGAGAGACCGACAGACCCTAGGGCCACTGGGAGCCATTGAAGGTGTTAAGAGTAGGAGAGGCCTAGGTCCTCTTAGCATTCTAATTGAGGACCCGAGCTGGGCACAGGAGACACTGTCATCTAAACCAAGGTAGGGCCTTGCTGTACCTTCACTGTGTCCAGAGGGTAGCCCACAGCAACTCCGCAGACTCCTGCAAGGCAATCAGAGAAACCAGTGAGGCAGCAGGAGGTGGCCCTGTCAGCAGTGAGAGCCCACCCATCCGAAAGGATGGGAGAAAGTGGCCTCAGGCAAGCCCCCCTCTCCCACCTCCACCTGACCCTACCTGGGCTCCGCCTCTCTTCAGCCAGTTGAGAAACTGGGGCTCAGTATGCACCTGCCAAGCTTGCTAGATATCTCCCAGCCCTGAATCCTGACCCAACTGTGCCTACCCCCATTGCCCAGGCCAAGGACATTCCTCAGCCTCACCTCTGACATCACATTTTGGGAGAACATCTGGTTCCACTCTGGCTGACCCTGTCCCTGAGCCAGGCAGACTTTGCCCTCAAGCCTGAGCCTGTGTCGGGTTTGTGTGGGGGCCAGGTGAACACCCCCGCATCACCGAGATGGGGGAGAGACACATTGTGAGTAAAGGCCAAGTGAGCAGCCCAGACCACACACACACACACACACACACACACATACCCAGGGCTCTAAAGGGCCAGGATTACCTGGAACCAGTTACGTGTGGAATAGAATGTGCACTGCTGCTATGGTCTGAACAGACTCCCCCAGAGGCCCAGAGGCTTTTCAGGAGTGGCGGAGCCCGCAAGAAGCCCTTAAGTCACTGGGGTCACGTTTTAGAGGGGACTGTGAAATTGCAGCCCCTTGTCTTTTGTCTTCCTGGCCAAGAGAACTCCCTGCCATTGTCCTCTAACAGCCACACAGAGGCTCAAGCAGTGGGGCCACCTGGTGGTCAGAGCCTGGGGAACTGCCCACTAGGTAACCATTCCTCTGCACGCATGCGTGGGCTCACTGAAGACAGTGGACCCAGCTTCTGACCCACCTTGCAGAGGGCCTGTCGTGCCGACGCCTGGCTTTGGACCAGGAGATCCACACTGCCCTCCTAGTCCTGCCGCCCCAGCTCTGGGTCCTCCACATCTAAGGCCAGCACAGCCTTGAGGAAGCTGAGGAGCCAATCGGGGGCTTGGGCTTTCCAACCCCCGAGCAAGAATGCCAAGGACATTGTAGAGGGTGAGAAGGCCCGTGGGGTGGTGTCCTGGGACGTGTTCGAGGAGAAGAATGAATTTCTGGGTGGGGTTGGGGGTATAAAGCAAGCACCTGACAGAAGACCCGAATGGAATTACCCTCTATGTCTCTCAAACACCTCCCCAACTCCTATCTGTCTCTCAAAGCCCTCCTCTCTTGGGCCTGCCTGCTGTGCTCTTGGTTGCCTCTGCCTGGAAGCATGTTGATCAGAACCTGTGTCCCATGGCCTTGCTGCTATGGCCCACATGCCATGGCCACCTCTACATCTAGAGTTCTTCATGGAAAGGCTTGGGTCTGAATCCCTGGGACCCGGGACCCAGACCCAGCACAGAGCTAGGACCCCATCACTGGGGCCTCTCCTGTGGCTATGAGGAGGGCATGGCCTGCTGTGGTGCTAACATTCAGAGGATCAGCCAGCCTTGGTATGGCAGAGGCCAAGACCCCCGGCAGCCCCAGGCAGGGCCAGGACCCAGTCCTCCGCGGCTATCCTTCCGGGCCCCCAGGCTGTTCCCAGCAGTGAGAAAGCCACCCACAACTATTTCACAAGAGCTGCGGGGCCAAGGGTGCCTCGCTCAAAATAGCTGCACAGCCTGCAGATCGATGACCCATGGAGTCCCTGTGGGCAGCCACCTCCCCCTCTGTCATCTCTCCCCAGGAGGGAGACAGTTTCAGCCACAGGGAGGTATGATGTTGGTAGGCCTCAGTGGACCAGAGAAACCATCCGGGCCAGCTCTACGTCGAGTTCCCGCTTCCTGCCATAGAACTCCTGGGTGCACTGTTCTTCCCTGAAGCCTTCTGGCCTCTCCCAGGGCTTATTTGCACACACCAAGGACCCCAGCCATCTCCTAACTCCATAGGAACAAGTTCCTGTTCCCAAGCCAGGGATCCCCAGCCTGCCTCTGCAATCTGCCTGGGCTTCAAGACCATGTGGGAACCTGCCCTCCCCTTTAGCACCCATAGCCCACCCCCTGGGGTCTGCTCAAATCTCAACTTAGGGCTCCCTCCCACTTACCACACACACAAAAGCACCATCCCCCAGATCTCCCCAACCCCCTGCACCCCTCTATTCCTATCTCGTACCTCCAATGGCCCCAGCAACAAAATCCATGGACAGCGTGGGAAATGAGAAGCGCTCTGGTCTCTGTCTATGCCACAATGGCCAGCTCCTACAGTTCTGCACACCTTAAATACCTGTGAGCAGAGGCGGAGACAGGACTGCACAACAGGCTGTTTTGATGCCCACGTTCACACACCCCACAAGGATCCCGGTGCCGATGACCTCAGCATCAGGAAAGCATGTGAGAGGTCATGGGAGGGAGCCAACCCCAGACATGGGTCTGCCTCTATTTCTGGATTCAGACCATGCCTGGCTTCTGACTGCTTACAGTGGCTGTATAAACAGTGACCCCCTCGTATGGGTACCCCACTTTACGGTTTACCTCCAGGCCTGAAAGGGAAGGGAAGCAAGGGCCTCTTCTAATCATGGAGCCACCAAGACCCCAAGGGGGACTTGCCTGAGGCAGCCACCGTCTTAGAGCCATCCTCTCCGACAGCCAGCCCTCGAAGGGAATACAGCCTTGTCTCTATGGCCACCCCCGCTAGTTCCCTTCAGAGGCTCAGTGACCCAGGCTGCAGCCCTACCAAGTGACCTGGGGGGCACCCTCAGGGCCAGAGAGCTGCGGAACGGAGGGAAGGGGCATGTTGACATGGAGCGCCCAGCAGTTCTATCTGGATGGCCCTCACGGAAGGGCAGCGGGAGGCCACGTGTCCACCTGTTTTCCTGTTATCTGTACGCTGGCCTTGAACAGGCTAGTTTCAGACTAGGGATGACCCCTCACCCCGACACTTTGTCTACTTTTAGGCAAGTAAGCAGTGCTAGTCGCCACAGCAGAGGGCAAAGGGCAGAAGGGACAGAGGGAGACTGGAAGTTGTCTGTCCAAGGCCAACATGATGTCCATCCTGTAGAGGGATGTGGCTCAGCATCTGATTAGAAGTTGACCTGCCTGCCGTCATATCCCAACTCCACCACTTGAGACAAGGCCTGTGGCCTTCCTCTGCCTCCGCTTCTCCACCGGGAAAGTGTGCTCCACTGTGAGCACAGAGAGCAAGCTCCAGCTGTGTTCCTGCAGAACTGCCGGCCAACTTCATTAATAGAAGTAGAGGGTCTAGAAAGAGGTGAGGGGTCTGCTCTGGAGAGGCAGCTGGGCCAGATGTTACACTCAAGAAGCTAGGCCCTTGGTCAATGACACGCATTCCACCTGAGAGGACAGGGACCCTTGGGTCCCACATGGCCAGTGGAGTGGGGCCATCCACCATGGCACTGGAGCCCAAGGCCCCACAGTTACCTGGGTGCCTTTCTCTCTCTGCCCCACATCCAGACAGTCTCGGTGTCCCCTCTTCTACTGTCAGTCAGGACCATTTGCCGCTGTCCACCGGCACCGCCCTAACCATGTCATTATTCCTGGACAGCAGCCCAACTGTCCAGGCTCCTGATGCGTGCAATCACCACATGCCAGATGTCAAACACTGAGACACCTTGATAAACACAACAACCTAGTCTCTGCTCTAGAGCCCTGATGTGCTGGCAGAGACACAGAGAGTCCTAGAGAGACAGGAGAAACCCAGCAGGGATTGCAAGGACCGATGTAGTCAGCTGCTGCTTCCCAATTGGGCATGTCCGTCACTATGAAGTAGCGTAGCCATGACAACCCACAGGACACGCTCTAGACAGTGGGCCTAGTAATGTCCCTCCTGATGCAGGAGGCTCCTGAGTCTCTCCAGGCCTCTCTCCACCCCAAGGTTACTTAAAAAGAGCCCTGAGCACACAATGTCAGAAACATAGATGGTACATTTCCTCAGTTCACAAGTCAGTTTCATTGACTGTGATTTGCCAAGTAACCCTGATTTTACCTGATGGTGTGGCCATCTGCAATCAGATTCTTTTATCCCAATCTTAGTTATTAATATTAGTTCTCAGGTTACACACTACACAGTAATACACACACACACACACACACACACACACACACACACAGATTAAAAATGGGCTCACTAGGCAGTGGTGGCGCACACCTTTAATCTCAGTCAACACTTGGGAGGCAGAGACCCACATGTTGGAGGAAGAAGAGAACTACTCCTCAAGTTGTCTTCTAACCTCCATATGTGCACTGCACTGCACGTACACACACACACACACACACACACACACACACACACACACACACCACTAGATAAACAAATGCGATTTTTAAAAAATATTTATTTAATGTGCACTGGTGTTTTGCTTGTATATACTCTATGTGAGGGTGTTGGATCCCCTGGAACTGGAGTTACAGACAGTTGTGAGCTGCCATATGGGTGCTGAGAATTAAACCTGGGTCCTCTGAGAGAGCAGCCAGTGCTCTTAACTGCTGAGTCATCTCTCCAGCCCCAAATGTAATTTTTCTTTTTTTTTTTAAAAAAAGATTTATCTATCTATTTATCTATTATGTATACAGCATGTATGACTGCAGGCCAGGAGAGGGCACCAGATCTCATTACAGATGGTGTGAGCCACCATGTGGTTGCTGGGAATTGAACTCAGGACCTCTGGAAGAGCAGTCAGTGCTCTTAACCTCTGAGCCATCTCCCCAGCCCCTGTAATTTTTCTTAAAGAGACAGACAAACAGGGTGAGTCTTCCCAGCAGCATGAATGCCTTTTGAGTCTCTTATGAGTAACCCTAATAAACTCACTGGTCCCCCGATCTGGACTTGGGTAGAATTCTTTCTTTGGTCTACTAGTCCTGTCTCTATCTGGAATGAAGAGGGATTTCTTTTCATTGCCTCAGGGAGAGTCACGTGATATCCAGAGTAACAGGGAGGGAGGAGAATAGGTGGTCGGGGAGCTGAGGTGAGGGAGGGAGTATGAATTGGGAAGGCGACACTGGGACAATCGTGTTCTCTCAGTCCCATAGCCTATTTCTCCTACCCTTTGTCTTCTGACCAAACATGCCCAAACTCACCAAAATACAACTATCCCAGAGGGTATCCTCCAGTGCCTTGTACTGGTTCCTCGTTGGCTGTGAACCTCTCACAACACTGATGGTCTACACTGGTCTTCCTCTACACCCACAGGATACAGTTCAGGATAGGCTGCTGTTTGGGTGGTTAAGTGAAGGTAGATGAAAACAGGTCAGTGAGCAGATGGAGGGACAGGTGGATGGGTTGGATGAATAATAGAGAGGCAGGGAGAAGATGGATGGATGGATGGATGGATGGATGGATGGATGGATGGATGGATGGAAGATGGACAGATGCGTGAACAGATAAGCAAAGGGAAGAAGGTTGGGCAGAGACTGGGATGGATGGGAGATGGATTAATAAGTGGATGGAGATGGGGTGGACAGATGGATGTATGGGTAGATATAGATGAAAGATGGACAGCTATCTGAACAGATAGCAAGGGGAAGACAGGTGGAGAGAAATGGATAGATAGAGCAACAAAAAGGTGGGTGGGTGGATGGGTAGTGAGTGGATGGGTGGGTTGGTGAATGGGTAGAGTGGATGGGTGGGTGGGTGGATGGGTAGTGAGTGGATGGGTGGGTGGGTGGATGGGTAGTGAGTGGATGGATGGGTGGGTGGATGGGTAGTCAGTGCATGGGTGGGTAGACTCAGGGATGGAGAAATGGGTGAATAGATAAGGGAAAGATGGATTAGTAGAAACAGATAACAGATAGAATGAATGGAGGCAAAGATAGCATGTGGACAGATGAGTAGACAGATGGGGACAAGGGAAGGGATGACTGGAGGAAAGAGCAATTGGTGAGTGGCTACAGGCTGGCTCAGGCCATGGGAAGGGAGGGTCGGTTGCAGTCCACGAGGAAGCAGCTGAAGAAGACAGAAGAATGGTGCTGCCTGTGCCTGCCTCGCCTCCTCCTGGAGTGACTGTAATCATGAAAGGCCTGAGAAACATTGGGGTCACCTTCCACTCTTCGCTGGATCTGATAGAGAAGGCGTCACGGAAGGAAGAGGCCTCTTCCAAGGTGTTCCTCTGTGTGTTGGGGCGGCGTGGGTACCTTGGCTGGAGTTTGTTGTAGAGCGCTGCTTTGGCCAGCTACGAGACCTTGGGTCAGTGACATAAACTCCCCAAGTCTTGACTTTCCTAGTAGGCAGTGAGTCTCAGGTCTTGCATGGACAACAGGAAAAGCCCAAGGAGTATCTGATGGGGCCACACCCTGCCATGGCTTCGGTAGCTATCATTGGCATCCAGGCCAGCTTTAGGCCTCCTGCACCTGCATATCACAACCCACACCTGGGGCTGCCACAGAGGGCTCCTGGGAGAATACAGACTTTCTGAGACACCACAGGGGATCTAGGAATATGCTACTCATCTTCTTATGAGTTATACCCAACCAGAGAGGCAGATAGTAAGTGGAAGACATACAACCCCGGCCTCAGGGACTTGCTGTCCAAAGGGAGCCTGTGAACTCTTTCCTGCTGGACATAGAGACGCATGCCTGTAACCCCAGCATTTGGGAGCTGGAGGCAGGAGGATCAGAAACTCACTGATACATGGCAAATTTGAGGCCAGCCTGGGCTACTTGGGACACTGTCTCAGAAAGTAATTCAGCCTCAGCTTCCTAAGTGGTGGAGGCACAGACGTGAACCATCCACCCAGCATGACGGGCTTTCTTGTTAAAGATTTTAAGTTTATTGTATGTGTATGTGTGTGAGTGTGTGTATGTGCACTGCAAGCATGCATGTGCCTGTAGAGGCCAGAAGGTATGAGGTCACCTGAGCTGCAGGTACTGATGGTTGTGAGCCACCTAACACAGGTGCTAGGAACCAAACCTGGGTCCTCTGCAAGAGCAGGAAGTGCTCAGAATCGCTGAGCAATCTCCCTAGCCCCAAATGTTTCTAATACTGGGTTGCAACTTATTTCCTTCCTTCTCCTGTCCATGTGTCTTCACCCGAGTGCCTAGGGATCCACTTCTTGTACATGTCCATAGTACTCAGAAAAATGATACAAAGCCAGAGCCTGTGAGCCAGATAGCTTGGGATAGATCGGCCCTGCTCTGCTGCATGGCCTGGACAAATCCTGTAGCCTACCCAAGCTTCACTTTCCTTACCTGGAAAGTAGAAACTGTTCAGGAAGGGTAGGAAGAGGTTAGGTTCCAATTCCCCACCCTCCAGTGCTGGGGATGGAACCTGGGACCTCA